GAAGGCACCTTTCCACTCGCAATTGCAGAGCATCAGTGCAGCTAGCTGAAATCTGTGACAGGGATTTCTAAATTCTGTTTTCTGAAATGCCCACAAAGATCAAAAAGTAGAGTATGGCCTTTAACTAATACTTTAATTCTGACATGTGATGCTTTAATCTAGGCATTTTAGTTCACAGCCAGCTTCCTTGAAGAAATTAGGGCGTACTGCTAACACTTGTTCCATTTGCTTTTCTTCCTATCTCAGTATTTTTTTACCTCAGTATAAAAAGTGGACATAAGCAGCCAAGTATAGGGAGACAGGTGCAGTAACAGCCAAAGTCATAGGTCCCCCAAATAATGGAAGTGTTGCTTTACAAGTGCAGTATCACACACAGCTGCTGCTGAAAAGCACAGCCCAGAGTCCCTCCACCATCAGCCACAGTCCCTTGCCCCCATTTTTTGACATCAGCAGGAATGCCAGCACAGTCAAACTAACCAAAACACTCATCTGAAATAAAAACTTCTCTGCATGACTGGGAGAAATACTGGTGCACAGGAGACGGCAGGAACATGTGGCAGGGGAATTGTGGGACCCCCCCACTGAGCAATGCATGGTGTTAGCTTAGATTAAATCATCCATGAAATTGCACCTAAAAGCTGTGGTAGGTGTCTGGGAACACCATGATTTTAGCAGATATTGCTCATTTGCCTCAGCCCAGAAAAACTGAGAGGTCACTTTGGGCTGCTTTTGACACTTCTCTTTGCCTGCAGATCAGACCGGAACGTGGTTCTTGCCCTGGGATGAAGAAAGCCAATGTGCATGTTCTGCAGCGTAGCCAAGGCCCAGAGGATCCCCTGTTCTACCCAGGGGCTCCCAAGCTAATATCATATTCTGGCCTGGAGTACCTGCACACACAGTGTACTGTACAGGAAATCGAAAGCATATGGAACAGCATTGGCTGCATGTGCTCAGCCCAGTTCATCAGTAAAGGAGGAAGGGCAGCTCTGCTCTTGGGGATCCCCAGGAGGACTTTGTAAACCTTGATAACATCTCTTTGCCATTCTGAGTGAACAGTGATGCACAGTGGTGGAACAATTTCTCTGTTGTTCAGTGCTAGGTAACTAACACTGAAAGGTCTTACACCTTTTACTCTATTCAAGCATGTAACTCGTTGGGGTTTGGGGCTGAGGTTTTTTTGAGAATAGCTGGTTTTCCCTTTTTTTTATGTGTGGGTTTTTTTGTTTGTTTTGGTTTTTTTTACTAACATTTTTAAATATACTGTCTTCATGAGTTTGTGCACTTGCTCCATGGTCCTTTATTTTGCTGCCTATACCCAAGCTTATGGTATGTGGAAATGGGCTGAGATAAAATGACCTTTAAAAGGTAATGCCCTTTTTTTTTATTTTCCAGCATGAATCATAGAATAGTTAGGGTTGGAAAGGACCTCAAGATCATCAAGTTCCAACCCCCCCTGCCATGGGCAGGGACACCCCACATATATCTTTTTCTTGTGAATATTGTCTTGATAATGAGTAACCTGTACAATTCTTCTCTTGTACAACAGTACTCTCTGAAATGTCCATTTCATTAAAAGCATGTATACACACTGCAGACGGTCTACAGCATTATCTGTTTAGGTCCTCCACAGTTGAAGTCTCGAAGCTAGTAATCATTAAGGAACAAGGCCATTGTGAACTGCAGTTCTGCCAGAGCCCTGCTTCAGCCACAGAACCTGGAACTGGAGTCAGCATGGACTTGCAGAAGTACCAGTATGCATTGGGAGGTGGACTTGTGTCCTCTGGTGGCAGTATGTTTAGGGCTGGAGTTGCGGATCTGAGTGTCTTCCAGGCTGGAACTCTACCAGAATCGTGCCAAACCTGGAAACCTGGCACACAGGGTGGGAACAGGACAGAGCTTGATCCTGGCCCTGGGAGCTAGGAGTCTTTTTCTGTGCAGCAGATACAGGTAAATTTAGGCCTAGCATTTGGGAAGTGAAGGTCTTCCAAGCTGGGACTCAGCCAGAATCTTGTTCCATCTAGGGAAGTTTTGTTTTGATTTTAAAACCAGGTCAGATCTGTTGTGTAACGCATCCCATAAATGGCTGTACTGGAGTAACCGAGAAGTTAGTATTGCATAGATGTGGGTGGGAGTAAGGGGCAGAACATGAAGGTACATTTTAACTGGTTTCGCTAGTGAACTCCATACAACAGGCCAAAAATAAATATGGCAGCAAGAGACATTACCTTCTAAGAGGTTAGCTTTGGAGAGAAGTAACTGAGATAATAGACTAAAGATGGAGCAAGGAGAAACAACTTGTGATCTGGAAGAAGGGGATTCAAATAATTGTTAATTTCTCCTACTTTGTTCAACATAATGTTATCGTCTCTTCCTTTTATTTTATTTTTTTTTCCTTAAGGAAGGAACTGTCAAACCAGGAAAGCCTGAGAGTCCTTTTTTTCTTTTTTTAAACTCTATCAAGAAACCACCTAGAGTAGGTTGACAGTATTTCAGAATCACACTTGAAAATAGGAGTTTGCATGCATTCTTTATGACTTAATAATAGGCAGGATCCTAAGAAATACTTGTTTTTCTTCTCCTGAGAGATTAACCCCTCAGAAAGCCAAATATGTTGGGCCAAATGGAACAACAATAAGCAGAAAACTTGAGAGGGAAAAACCTCCCAAAACCCAAACAAAAAGTCCATAAAAATGAGGAGGAAAGGATACAGTATGGAGAAATAAGATCTAAGAGAAAAAAAAAATACACAACAGTCTAGAGAAATAGAACAGATGTAAAAGAAACAAAAATCAGCATAAAAGTTTTCCTAGTTCAGCAGGTACAAGCTGACCTGATACACAACATTCAAAACATTAAATTACAGTATCTTAATTGAACATAAATTTCCCTTACAGACAACCTCAGTTGACTCTTCTGCCTCTCCTCTTTCAGTATGATTGTGCCGAGAAACATATTCCTACCGTTTTCCTCTTCTTTTTTTCATCTGTGCTGTTAACAAAGTAGACTTAGGACCAGTGCAGAAATGGTTGTAATTGGAACTTAAATAATTCAAGAGTTCCTCAAGGTGAAGGACTGCACAGAAAGTAAGCTGTAGAAACTACAGGTTTCCCAGATTGATGGCTATTATTATTATTGGTATTAGGGGGGAAAAAGCACACACTTTGTCATCTAAGGGAAGAATGATACAGATAAATGTAAAGTCAGAAATAAATACTTCTGTTTTCCTACTTCTCTTTTATCAGAGACTGAGATCAATACATTAGAGAGGAAAGCTGAAAATTACATAGTATTAGTTTCATCCTTTGAGGCTTCTACCCAGCAAAGATTAGAAAGGAATCACTCATTAGGTCTGCTTGGGTTTTAACTGTTTTTTTAACTTTTCTTCTGGTAGTAAAAGGATGGACTACTGGTGTGCTAAACATGGCACTTTTTGCATCCACAGTGGCCAGGTCTGCTCATTTATTTGTTGTTTTGTTTGCTGATGATTGTGGGCATAGTCTACAAGTCTGCGTATGATGCCAGATTTACTTACCTGGGTTCCAAAATGTTAGAAGCAATAGGTACTTTCAGAACCTTCCTCACTTCCTGTGGAAGATTACCGGGACTTCATAACTCCTGGGCTAGGAATGTCTACTCACATAACTAGTATTTAAAAATATCTTTTTAGTTATTCAAGCCAGTGTTCTGCCAATCATAGAACTAAAGCAGTATAGTTATTTCAATAGTAATTTTTGCAGCCTTCTGAGTACACACTGTATTAGTAAGACAGTCTCTACCATTTTGGGGATGAAGATGTTTTCCTAATTAAAGTGCTAAGTACTTTCCAAGTCTATGGAAGCTGCTCAGTATCTTATCAGCTTGGATCCATCTATCCCTGCTTCAAACTATATATACTGATTTTGTTGTTTCACCCACACAGTTAACTGATAGTGGAGTGCAGTTATGGGTAACATATCCAGTTTTTCCCTTTCCAATATTCCTACACTGAGTAGAGGGGTCTATTTGCCTCTTTACTGTATGTTCTGGAAGTCTTCATTCTGTGATCCAAACCCTAAAAAGCCCGTGTAGCCATGCAGTTTTCTCTTGGAGTGTGTGCATTTCTGTCACAACTCCAGGCTTCCTTCACACCAGTCATGGGCACTCTGACCTTTCCAGGACTTAGTATTTGTGCTTTGGATAGATGTTTCAGGCTAGATGATGTGTTGTGCCAGTAGCAATTCAAATAATTCTTGGTATCCTGCACATCCTCTTTGAAAGTGGCCTTCTTAGGCAGCAGACCCAGCTTGGAAGATCTTCAGAATATAGAAAAATGGTGATGATGTCAACTGTTCTGTTAACTTGTGTTTCTCAGGGAAAGCCACCACATAGCGCAGTCCCTGTGGTACTAGGCCACAAACTGAAGTTAAGTCCCAGAAGAAGTTCTTCTCTCTGGGTTACATCATTAACACTTCAGAGAACACCATGGCAGCACTCAGACAGACTTAATTCTAAATCAAACCATCATCTGGAGTGAGCAGCTTGTGTTTCGCCTGTCAAAAAGGTTCTGCTAAGTAACTAATGTGGTCCATCTCTTTTTAGGCCAGAGAGGTTGCCATGGTAACCTATTCAAATGTAGATAGATATGCTTTTGAGTCATCATCAGAGCCTGGCTTTGATAGTACAAGGTTTGGATTGACAGCCAGTACTGCATATTGTGTAGGTTGGCACGCCTCTGGACCAGAAGGTCCTGGAATTGCTGCTATTGCTGCCGGATGAGGCTTGCTACAAAAAAAACATGTACAGCTCCCTGCGTTTTCTCCGATATTCTCCTCAATGGCAGTCATGTATTCCTTGGTGTTCTCACTCTACAAAGAGGTAGGTTGAAGATCACACTCCTACGTATGACAAGTTCCTCACTCAGTTTAAAAGTCCTTCCCCAAAACAATGGAGTTTTTTTGGGAAAGAAGCCTCTGGGAAAGAAGCTGTGTTACTTATTTTAGGGGAAATGTATACTTTGAAATAGTATCACAGAAGTCCTTCTGAAACCACTTTCCATGATAAATACATTTGTAGGAAAGCAGTTTCCTGTTAAAATCAGGCATCCTGAAAAATTGCAATTATTTAAAACTTTTTCAAATCAAGTGCTACAATGTCAAATGTTTCCCATCTGTGAGCTTCTTTACATCCTCAGTTTCCAAGTCCTAGAGGGATCTGGTTTCCCTGTGTTTGAAAAAGATGAAAATGACATTATGTTGATATAATCATAAAATTTCACTCACATCCATGAGGACTAGTACAACACAAGTCATGTCTCTAAAAATTCGTATTTGGTTCTGCTGATTGTAACACAGCTAAGTTGAATTCATGTACACCTGTTCAATGTAAAGCTTTTGCTTCTCTGTAAGAATTCCTGGAAGTCAAAAACTGTCCTCAACCCTGTTATAATCAGGTCCTTCTTTGGCAGCTTCTTTTGAAGCTCACCCAGTGATACGAAATTAAGTCTCCTTACTCCAGTTGTGCAGCAGAACCTACCTCTTTGCTGGCTAAAATGGAAACTTTGTTCCTGATGTCAGCAGAAACCTTTATGTGCTCCCTCTAGAGGGGTATTTTCTGTGAAGCTCCAACACGTGGTATCTGCAATATCCAGACTTCACAAATCTGTTCAAGAAAGTTCTTAGAAGTATGTTCTACTAGGTACCTACATAAGCAAGAAACCTCCTGCTAGCTAAGATTAAAAAATTGTGACAAGTTCTAAATCACATTTCTCTAAGCTTGCCACTTAGGGCACTTCATCATACCTAGAAATCGTTCTTTGAGCAGCACAAGCAAGAATTCTTGGTTGTCTATCCCTTTTTCCTCCCAGATCCTCTATCCCCTCCCAGTCCAATACATTATTTCAGGTTTTCAGATTCCCTTAGTACCTCAGACACTGAACTACCCCAAAGCTCCAGTATGTGACCCTGCGCTATCTGTTGAGCAAACAGAACTGTAAACTGTGATTTATTTGAGGTTACATGGATAGAGCTTGGCCACTTAGCCAACCAAACAGAAGCATTAACGGTTCAACTTAAAGAGTTAAGCTTTTCCCAAAGTGAGAAATGGTTAACTAATTAACCAGGATCAGTTCTCAACCCTGCATCAGTTTTCACAGAACTTCTTTGAACCTCTTCTATTCAAGACCTCCGCCCAAGAAGAGTCTGTCAAATCACAAAGTGGCTGATCATTATTATTAAAAAAACCATTATGAGAGATGGGTCTGATCAAAAGGCAGTCCACTCAGTCTAATGAAATCAGAATAAAGAGTTTCTTTCCAGTATGCCTTTACTGTGAGGGTGGTGAGGCACTGGCACAGGTTGCCTAGAGAAGCTGTGGCTGCCCCATCCCTGGCAGTGTTCAAGGCCAGGCTGGATGAGGCTTTAAGCATCCTCATCTTGTGGAAGGTGTCCTTGCCTGTGGCAGGGGGTTGGAACTAGATGATATCAAGGTCCCTTCCAACCCAAACCATTCTATGATTCTATGATATAAACTAAACCAGCTGTGTGTACATTACCTTTATTTCAGACTTGGATCCCTGGCTATCCACAGTGTTGTGGCCCTTGAGTGTATTCTGTGGCACTGCTAATGTAGGCTAATTGCTATGTGGGCTAGTGCTCCTTTTTTGTAGGGCACACTTTTTAGGGGCCTGCAGCTTCACCGCTGTGAGCTATTCCAAGGAACTGGCAAAGCAGGCAAGGTTGGTGCTGACCTTATGCTGAGAATACCCCTGCCTTATCATGATCACTCCTGCATGGCAGCAGCACAGCCAACCAGGCCTGTGGTATCAAATCCCACAGGGGTAGCCCAGCCAGAATGGAACTACTAAAATAGCACATCAGCTGCCAGGCAGGGTTTTTCTGCTAGTGCGAGGATATCCCTCAAGTATTCCTGCTATAAGCTCCCCAGGCTGGCTGTAACAGTCTGGGGAGGGCAGAATGCCACAAGCACCTGTGAGGGAAGCACGTGTGGATACAAATTCTGAAACTGGGGTGGGAAGAATAATGTCATATGAACAATTTGGTGCTAGCGTGTCAGCCAGCTCCCTCTTCCTGTGGTTAAGTCAGGTCCTAGTCCCCTCCAGAGGTGTAATAGGGGGAATGAGTCCAGAAGGTCACTAGATGGTTTGCGGTGAGTTAGGCTGACTTGACTCTGTTGGACCTTCCAGTTTTCCATTCCCATTCTTTTTAAAGAGGCTACAGGGCTATACAGAGGCTATGTCCTAGCATCAATGTTAGTGACTTCTACCCCAGAGGGACTCTACTATTAAACTACTTGCCTGCTGAACTCACCTGCTAAGTTAAAAAAAAATAAAAATTAAAAAAAAAAAATAAAGATAAGAATTTTGGAGAAGTGTCAGTTCTCAGGAAATCAGAAAACCTTGTGAGGGGTCCAGACCCTCCACAGAAGAGTGTTCATTTATTCAGCAGAGATATGTTTGTGAAAAGACCTGACCAAAAATGGCTTGAACCATCCCCAAACCAGTTCAGGAAATCCTGAGCTGGGCCAGATGCTTGTGTTTTGGCAACACTTGCTGGGCAAGAACCGGCCTATAAGCGTTACAGAAAGGATAGTTGAATGGTTGCTCTTCATTAGTGGTTTTCCCTTTACGGGAGTGTGTATTGGCACATGTTGTTGCACTAAGGTCAGTTCCAGGTTTTACACATTGAGTAAATCTGTGGCAACACAAGACACACAGCTAGTACACAAGTGTGCTACAGCTGTCTGAAACTCCTGCAGTCACACTGATTTGTTTAGGATACATTTACACAATGACAAAGTCGTAACTACAGATTGAATAAACTTGTGGTCAAGTGTTGTCAGTGTCAATGTATTTGGAGAGCATTTTTAAATAAAGTCTTAAATCTAGTTTAAATATAAATGTCTAAAATCTGCATTTTGGCTCTTAAACAGTGGTTTAAGATGCTAAGCATGTTGAACTATGTTTGACTTTATCCCTCACTACTGTCAGTCACATCAGCTTCTGTTATGTGTATGCAAATACTATAGACCTCCTTCTGCTCACCTTATTTCCGCACCAGTATTAATTGTGGAAGCCTTATACAATTATATGATGTATGGAAAGAAGTGTTTTATATCGGAGATGATGGACTATCAATAAGCATTGGTTGCATAAGTGAAGATGAGGTGTGGTGTTTTCTTAAGTGCTGTGAAACTTGATCGTGAGTGGGGGAGAAAAAGGCCTTCTGCTTTTCTTTTGTTACTGGGTTTTGTGCATCTGCATTGGTGTTTTTTCATAAACAGTATTTTAAACTTTCACAAGAAATCTGTCATTCACAAGAAATCTGCCACATTTTACATTGTAGAATGGACCAGGTAAAGGTGGCAAGTCTGTGGAAATGTGAAAGATTTCATTCAGCAGCAGCTGCTCATGAAACTCACTATGCCAGTGGCTGCACAAACGCACTTCTTTGTTCTCTGTTAAGTGCATTGCCCATAAATTCTTTCCCTTCTGGAGAATAAAATTAACATAACTCCAGATAGCTAATATTTTTATGTGTAGGGCCCATCAAGTTTATGGATGCACAGACTATCACGCTTATGAGTGCACACATCATCGAGTTTATAAGCATTGCACATAACAGTTATGCTCACAGCACATAAAGTTTATCTCTTGGTATATAAAACTCAGTTATGAGAAACAAAACCTGAAAAATTACTTGATTCACATTTTTTTCCTTCACCGTTCCAACCTGTACGTCATAGCAGGCATTTTCACAATGAGGCTCAACTGAATTTTGTATGTATTGACAGAGGATTATTTTTCCTCAGGTATGTGAAACTGGGACTACTGTAGCCAAGTTTCAGGCAGAACATAATTTTGAAGACTTCCAATTAAAAATTATAACAAAGCTAAAGAATATAGAAAATTCAAAGTGCCTAAAAACTAACTTGTGAATACTCACAGCAGAATCCTACTAACTTCAGAGAATATCCCAAACATGTTAATTTTAAATTCTTTTAACACAACCTTATCTTTGCTATAGCCAAGATGTGTCTGTAGTAGCGTAGCCAAGATGTGTCTGTAGTAGCGTAAGTATATAAAAAATGAAGGTAACATATCTACTCTGACTTATAAAGTTTATGTGTATCAGTATTGAATGTAAATCCCATATTTGACACTTAGAAGTCTGAATTAATACATTTTCTGAAAAACCAGACTACATCCATTTAATAAAGTAGTAATTACACAGTGCCAATTGTCTACATGGGAAACTAATCATAGAATCATAGAATAGTTAGGGTTGGAAAGGACCTTAAGATCACCTAGTTCCAATCCCCCTGCCATGGGCAGGGACACCTCACACTAAACCATGTCACCCAATTCTCTGTCCAATCTGGCCTTGAACACCACCAGGGATGGAGTATTCACAACTTCCTTGGGCAACCCATTCCAGTGCCTCACCACCCTTACAGTAAAGAACTTCTTCCTAAACTTCCCCTATTTAAGTTTTAACCCGTTACCCCTTGTCCTATCACTACAGTCCCTAATGAAGAATCCCTCCCCAGCATCCCTATTGCACCACTTCAGATACTGGAAGGCTGCTATGAGATCTCCATGCAGAATTCTCTTCTCTAGGCTGAACAGCCCTGAAAATGAAAATGTAATGAAAAACAGTGCTCAAATTGTCACAGGTACTTTATACCTGGAATGGACATTTCCTAGACGATGAAACAGAGTACAGAACACTGTGTTACTTAGCTCATCTACTTTATAACTGCTAACTCTCCCTTCCCAGTACTTAGCTACTCTAAATAATACTCATTACTAGGTTAATGCCAGTTGTCACTGAACAGAGCAGTTCCTCAATACATTGAAAAGCCAGCTCCCCTGATCAAATGGTCAACTAGATGAAATAAGATGTATTTGAGTTGTGTTATGGGAAGTTATTTACTTTTTATTAAACTAGACAAAGTTCTAATATTACAGAACATCATAGGATGTATCTAAGATGTAAAGCAAGGGCTGACAGTGCTAATCCAAAAAGCAAAGCAAAAGCAGTATTTATCAAAAGAAGCCCGATGCCCGAGGCTAGTCTTACAGACACTTTTGCTGAGGCTGAATTCCTGTCTGTACCATCCGACTCTATCATCTCCTTAATCTCAGAGATATCTTCTCCCCACCTCCCTCCCCATTTGTACCTATCTCCTTGCCTGCAGTAACTCTGCTCCTTGTCCTCTCACATTCAGTGAGTTACCTCTCTCCTCAGAACCTCAACAGCAACAATGCTGAAGAGACAGAAGAGACATTCTTCCCACTGGAGGTGCGGGTGCTGGAGCAAGCAACTTGAATTAGTCCACTGCTGTATTAGTTGGAAATCATCAAAGTTTCTACTGTGCATGGGCAACTGTCATTCTTTAGACATCCGTAATTTTGCTTGGGGAGGATAATATGAAGGATTGTCCTCTTCTGCCCTGCGGAGAGAATCAAGTTTGTTTCAAATAGGTCTCAAAGCCAGTGTTCAATAAGCCAGGCACAGAATATAATCAACTAATACACATGGTATGTAGTCACTGAGACCAGATTCTCTTGTATGTAGGATGCAGAACCATATTTTATGTATGTGGAATGCATCGAGTGTCTTGGACATGCTGTACTTGTGTGCACAGTGGTCAGAGCCTTGGGCACTCATAATATGAAATTTGGGGTAAACCTGAAATGAACAGAACTACTCTGACACCAGGGCAGCACCTATATTGATTAAAATCTGGTTCCAGAGGACTGAGTTTTCAGTTAGAAGTCTAAAGGTTGTACACAAATCTAAAAGCACACATTTCTTCCTAATTTCATCCCGAGAAACAGCTGAAACCTTCCTGGCCTTGTTTGTTTGGGGTTTTTTGGGGGGTTGGGAGGGGGTGTTGGGTGGTTTGGGGTTTTTTTGTCCAGAACATTCAGGCTGAGTTCAGGCTCAGGCAAACATCCAAATAATTTTTATTTGTTTGTTTTCCATTGTTTATAGGCTTGCCAAGCTTTAACTGTCCTGGGTGTTGCTTCAGGCTGACACCTCCTCCCCTCTTTATTTTTTTAAAGGGGAAGGAATAGGAAGAATTTGGGGCATTTTAGAAAGGGCAATATTTTGGTGTTGAAAATTTATAAGCAACTGGAAAAACAAGAGCAAGTTTAAAAGGCTGGAAATGTAAGCAGCAAAAATATTTCTAGTTTAGATTTTCACAAGAAAAAACTGTCTTTTTCATGTTGCTTTCCAGGGTAGTAAAATCAGTGTGTAATAAATTATGGTACATATACCAAACTCTGCGTCATAATTTTTACCCAAACCCCAGATAGCACTAAGCATCATCTACCTCTTAGCCAAAGAGACAACAACATACATTTTTTTTTACAGGCAACAGACACGTGTCACTTTATGTGCTCCACAGAAGAAAAAAAATCTTGGTTAAGAGTTAGTTCTGAGTTAGGGAAGTTTTCCAAGCATTTGTTGTTCCTTTCCCCAACAGTATCATAAACTATGAAACAGGGCTTTCTGCAACAACTTCCAGTTGTATCTCAAAATTATGACATTGACTTTGCCACATTAAGTTCTGAGAGAAAAGGTGTTAAGTTACTGCTTCTTCCAAGCCAACAGAAGCAACTGAGAGACTAAATATGACTCCCACAGTACATCTTCTTTTACATGTTTCATTTTAGGGTTAGAAGAAGAATATTATCTAATTATTTATATTATTTAGAACACATATTTATAATATATTAATATATTTATATATTGTTTATACTATGTTTCCTATACATTAATGATACCCTATTAACAGTATATGATGTTATTATATATTGTAAATATAATATTTAAATAAAATTCACCTATTCAAGAATTAACCATATTCCTAGTCAAGTGACAAGGTTTGTGTGTGACACTGATTTTATGCACCTGTGATAAAGACTGCAATTAAGTTCTGGAGTTTACATACCACTGATGGAGTCACTATCTCTTCCTAGCTGTCTGATCTTCTAAATGTGGTCCTCTTTCCAGTGCCCTGCTAGTGCAGTGGAGACATTGGGCCTGGACCTGCCACCTCCAAAATGGAACAGCATCTGCAACAGAAATGTCAGTGGCAGAATGGTTAGAACCAAATTTAAGGCCATTACTAGGGATGTAAGATAACTTTGTGAGGAGCATAATTAGCACTACAGCAGCTTGATATTCATACAGGACTGTAAACAATTTTAGCTATATATAACCTAGAATGAGCAGTGTTTCTTGCTGCATCAATATAGATATTTCAGTTTTAAATATCTCCAGCATCAAAATAAAAGATTTATTTTCTTCAGACTTTGATTGTTGTCCTTTCCTTAATGGTGCCACAAGCCAAATTTCATCTTTTGCATCATGATTGTGTGACGTTTCAAATGGTGACTAACAGAAAATGTCTTTTCCTTCATGCTATATAAATAAAAAAATAACTGATTTTGCTTAAGTTTCTCGATAACTCTTGAGTTGAAACAAAGCATAAAAAGCTCTAGTGCAAAAGGATTTTTAATGAAGAAGAAGAGAAAGTAGAAAGGATAACCAACCACAACCTTAGCTAATACAGTTCAGTGCAGCAAGCATTATAATCTGGTGAATGTGCAACAGCTGATGAGCAAAGATGAGCATCTTTGATACAGTCTATTTTCAGGTTACCTTTATGCAAATGAATAAAAAGGTTTTAATTCAAGCTGCATTGAGGTAATATGCCATGTCCTACCATACACACATAAGGAAAGAAGTTCTGAGCATGCAACCACGAAGGGGGAAATGACACTGTCTTTCTTCTTATGTGATAGTCACGCTCCCTCTTGCATTCTTACTTCCCACATTTGGGCTCTTGTCTTTTCTGTTTCTCAAAATGGCAGTGGCCACCTTAAACAAACATACAAACAAACAAACAAACAACAAACAGAAAAACCAAAGTATTTTGGACAATTCATTAAGATTTTCCTTTTATTTTTGGAGAAGGATCTTGAGGTGGCCTCTTTTCACACAAGGAGGTATCCTTTTTTTCCACCATGTGCTCTTTCTTTCTTTTCTTGCTTTCTAAGTAAATTTTCTCCCTCTGCTCAGTGATACACCTTTGTAGCTAGCAGCTGTCCCAGTCATCACTAGCAGAACACTCAGACACCAGCATGCCTTCCCTGCAGAGGGCTGCTGTGAGGTGTGACCTACTTCACTGCGTAACTGGTTTTGACACTACTTTCCAGCTATATGGACTAAGATTTTTGATTCCTGAAGACATCAGTGTTTCTCTCAACCTTTTATGACTTTGATCATAGTAAAATAAAATCCACCAAGGAGTGTGTCCAAAGGAGGGTGATCAAGATGTTGAAAGGTCTTGAGGGCAAGACTTACAATGAGCAGCTGAGGTCACTTGGGTTGCTCATCTTTGAGAAAGCTCAGAGGTGCACCCGACAGTCCACAACTTCCTCTAGGAGGGCAGTGGAAGGGGAGGAGGTGCTGATCTCTCTACAGTGGCCAGCGATAGAACACAAGGAAATGGAATGAAGCTGTGTCAGGGGAAGTTCAGATTGGACATAAGGAGAAAGTTCTTCACTGAGAGGACGGTCAGTCACTGGAACAGGCTGCCCGCAAAAGCGATTATAGCACCAAACATGCCAGAGTTCAAGGAGCACCTGGATGATACTTTTAGTCACATGGTTTAGTTTTCGGTAGTCCTGCAAGGAGCAGGTAGTTGGACTCAATGATCCATATGGGTCCCTTACAACTTGAGATATTCTACGGTTCTGTGATAATGTTAAACTTCATGGCCTCTTAATCTTCTCTTTTCTATAGTATTTGCCTGACAAACTGCAGTATTTGGAACTTAAAACTCATCTAATATGGTATCTGGTTTCCAGCAGCAGCCAATAAAGGATGCCCAAGGAAGAGCTTACAAAGTACGCATGTTATCTTCAAGCATTACCAGGGTCCAGTAATCTGTGGTTTGGAGGTTTCTACAATGTGGACAGTGGGGGACATTTTCTTATTTAACAGTCCTTATATTTAATGGACTTTTCTTCTGTTAATTTGCCAGTTGGGTTTATCTCCTAAACCCTTTGCATCTTTCAGCAACCTACAGTATCTTGCAGCAAAGATTGCCTCTGCTTAAAATCATGTAGAGAACACAACTTTTTTGTTTCGAACATGCCTCCTACCAGCTCCATTAATATTCTTAGTACTCATGTTGTAAAACGACACTAAGTGTCTCCATCTTCATCTGTTCTCTGCCACTGGTGATTTTGTAGACCTCTGTTGTATCTCCCCATAGTCATGTTTTCTTCAGAGTTAACAGCCTGTAGGTATACCTCATACAGAACCATTCTGTTTTCTTTGATTATGCTTGTCAAATCTTTTCTGAATCACTCCCAGCTCTATTATGCTTTTTTTGAGATGTGAAGGAAAGAACTGTACATACTATTTAATATGCAGAGAACTATGGATTGATACTGGGGTGGATGTGCTACAATGTTCTGGTTTGTTCTGTTCCACTTTTAATAATTTCCAGTATTTGATTTGCTTTTCTCAGTAAAAGGGAACATTGTGCTGATATTTTCATAGAAATATTCATTAAAACCCAAGGATCTCATTTCTGAGTGGAAACTCAGCTTACAGCCCATCCTTGTATATATAATTCTTTTCCCTTGTGCACTACTTTACACAACTGTATCAAATTTTATCTGCTGTTTTATTATCCAGTCACTCAGTCTTGTAAGGTGTCTTTAGTTCTTCAAAATCACCCCTTCAACTGTATCACAATTTGTCCTCTACCTTTCCTTTACCTGAATAGCTTAATATCGTTAGCAATATGTGATATTTCACTGCTCACCCTCTTTTTCTAGATCATTTATGAATACATTAAGCAGCACAAGTCACAGCACAGGTCCCTGCAGACTCTTCTTGTGATCTCCCTCTATGAAAACTGACCTTTTATTTCTGTTTTACTTCTGTTTCCTGTCATTTAGCCATTTTTTTGATCCATTCCTCTTGCTGCTTCTTGTTGCATAAAGATGCTCTTTTTTTTTTTTTTTTTTAATTATGCTTTGCCTGGGAACCTCGTCCCTATAAATCCTGGTAACTATTAAACATGAGATCTCCCTTGTCCACATATATCTGTAATCCTTGATATAATGCAACAAAAGCTGTATTGTCATATTTCTATATGCATACAGTGATTCTGCTCTGTAGGACAGATATTACTTACTCAGCATAGACAATGCAACAGGCTCACTTGTGTAGTTGCCTGGGTCTTTGTGTTTGCCTTTGTCACCTGGTTAGCAGGGAAAGGTTACACACTGCAGTTAGTAAGTCAGCTCTTTGATACTTGAGTTTTCTTAGAACTCCTGGATGTAGTCCACATGGTCTCTACGATGTCTTGCTTATGTTATCTGTTTGTTCTCCAACTTCTTCTGCCTTGCACTTATGTTTGAGACAGGTATGCTAAAATGCCCCATAATGCCATGTTCCGGCTGTTGCACTGTGAACACAGATGCAAGAACTTGAATGTAGTCTTCTCTTAGGGTCTTGCTTTCTCTGAGTGTTCCTTTTACACCCTGACGGTCTATCGGGCCTACCCACTCTTTGGCAAGCCTTCTGTTCTGTTTTGGTTTGATTTTGATTGGGCTTTTTCTCGTGCCTTGGCAAGTCAGTCCTCAAGCTCAGTTGTGATCTGCCTATCATGTTAATGTAACAGAATTTATGAACTCACAGGTTTTCTGCATTTCCAAAACAGTTTCCAGAAGATACCTTCTTGCTTCTACTAACCTTCTTTACTTTGTTTAAGCATACTGGCTTCCTCTTCTTCTGTGTCTTTCTTTATAATGTTCTGAGAAGTTGGAGTAGCCCATTAATAGCAAGAGGATGAAAACTAGGTTTCTCTTGAATACCAGAGAATAGGCGTAAAGGCCAGAATTCACCTTGCAGAAGAGTTACTCTCCATCTTCCTGTCAACAGAAATTTTCTTCTCCATAACTATAGGATTCTTTCTCCTCTGACATTCCTAGTTGATGCCAAGGCCTGTCAACCAGCAGCTGAGGATTTCTCTGAAATGTTGAGAGAGATCTAAAACTGGAAATAGAGTGGTTTTGAAAGAAGAATCTTATACATATATTTGCTTTATTGCCTGTGAAAATTATTGGCTAACTTTACTGTGTACATGTGTGTGTGTCTATATGAAAGTTAAAAATGTCCATACAGTTCCTTACCCTATTTTAAAATACTGCCATACAAACATAAAGTATGTCATTAAAAATGTGTAGTGTCACTCAGCATTTTCTGACGGTATCTTTTAGACACCGTATATAAAATATGCCAAGAAAAAAGCTATTTTGAGGAACAAGCTACATAATTTTGCCTTTATGTGAGAAGAAAACTGAAAAAGATCTGTGTACTATCTCACCTAGCTCCACAGTCCAACAGTCAGGATACTGAGGTTGCAAATATCCAGTCATTAACAAACCTTAAATTGCATGGCCACTTACATACTTCTTACAACTAGCAGAAAGAAACAAGTGGATAAAAACTAATCCATAAATTGTAATTTTAGACATGGAAGTTTAACAGCTATTTATATCACATTAAAATGTAAACAGCTGAGAATATTGATATCAGGTTCTGATGGTTTCTTTCCAGTCCAAAATCAATATTTAATAAAAAATAAATTAAAGAGTTCTGTTACATTAAAGTCTCCTTTGAGGCCACTATGAAACAGCTATGCAAAGCTGATTGATTATAAAAGCTGATGTAAAATGTGCAATTTATACTGCATTATTAGCAAGCCCATACGCTCATTTCCTGAGAAAATACAGCAATTTCTGTTCCTTTAAGTGGCTGCTCTGACCTAAGTACTGGGCTTGATGACCAAAGGAATAAAAAAATTATCAACTGAGATCAAACTAGTGGGTTGATTGACCCAAGATGCTGTTATCTACATAAGACTTGTCATATGGAATATCCAGCTCCCAGATAAATTCTGGGCAAGATTTTCTGTTTAATATAATCGTGGATATGTTCAGTATCTATATAAATATCAAATTCTTTTTCAAGTCCTATCAGCATTCAGAAAGTTAATTTTACACATTTATCATGTGTGACTCAAATATTATTTTAACATTCTTTAAAAATTTTTTTTTTAACACTGACTACTTCAATTTATTGCTGCTGGCAGAAGTTTCAGTAGGAAAATGCAACTTACTTTCTACTGCTTTTATTCTACATATTTCTACCATTCTATAGTCTATCTGGCAACTTACCAAACAGTTCCTTTACATCCACCAGTTCTCACACAGAAGTCTGCAAATATTACTATTTTGTTAAGAATTTCTTTCTCCACATTTTTAAAGATGCCAACTTGCACATCATCATACACAACCCCACAACACCCAATATCAACTTTTTACACTACAAAAAGTTACCATTTATTTCCATGCGTTGCTTTCCAATTCTTAAGTATTTCTTTTTCAGGATAGGGCCTCACCTGACACTGTTTTATTTTCCTGCCAGACTATTCCAGTAATTTTTTAAATGTCTATATCACATGTTTTGTTTTATCTACTGTTGGCTGTCAGCCCCTGCATATGTCATATTATTTTTCTGTATTTGCTAATTCTTTTGAGACGGAAGTAAAGCTCAGTGTAATTTTCAGTAATTTCAAGCCCTTCTAAAACTGTCTAATGACATTTATGCTAAGGTAATTCCTTTAAAAAATGTGCATGGCAAATGAGTTAGTTCATTCTTCAATACCTTTGAAAGTCCTTGACTAGTATTACCTCATTTATGGAATTATATGCATTTAGTTTCTTGCCTTCCTATCACCATTTCCTGCTTTTTCAACACCTTCCAGCACTGCCTTGTGGCCTGGCACTATAAAATTAGGTATCTATCTTGACATTTCCTGTAACACATCAGTTTGCAGTGGTTTTACTCTCTTCAGAAGAGTCCTCATCGTGCTGCCACTGAACACAAAAAACTCTATAGGTTTCAATATCACAGAATCTAGTCCTTGTTCTTTTTACTTTCTAGTGGCTGAATATGGTCCTTAATTAACATGGGCAAAGAATGCACATCAGCATTCTTCTACTCATGTCTCTTGTTTCCAAGCCTTTAAGCATTTACTTTCATTCTACCTCTATCTCTCAACTTTAACATGCTGTACTGTTTGGCTTTCTTTTAGACCTTTTATATGGACTTTTCCTCAGCTTAGTTTCATCTTAACTAGCTCTTTCCACATTCACATTTGAACGAATAGGTGTATTTTGTTGCCTTCTGTAGCCTTTTCTTGTTTATACATATATATACATATGATATGCATAGTTCTTTTAAGTCTGATATACTTTAAAGGATAAGTTTTACTGACAAAGAATTTTCCATGCAATGGGAAATGTTTTAGAAAACATTGATTAGATTTAACATATAAATAGTCCCTGTATGTGGTACACAGATTTTAAGTTCATTATCTTCCTTATTTCTAATGCATTCAGAAACACTACCACTTATGTGTCACAGTGCTGGGATTAGGTATGATTTCTCCACCAAAGATAATGCATTTCAATATGCTTCCTGTTGCTTAGTGTATCAGTTACAGTTATCTCTTCAGCTAACTCCTTTTTTAGTTAGGAATAAAGAATAGCTTTTCCACTCATGTGAGCTAAAAACAATTTTCAGTTTATCAAACATACATAACATTATATAAACCACATAGTGCTCTAGAACTTGTCCAATACATGAACAGTACTTGGAATTACTATTTTATTAGACTTATCTCTGATCTCTTTCAGTAGTATATACTCCATACCCGTCTGATGGCAAATAGTGAACTTTCAAGTACATTTCTATTGTGACTGTCTATAATGTGTACATTCAGATCTGGGTTGAGGCAAATATAGAAGCCTGATCATTCTGAACAATTTAAATGTATTTATTAAAATCATGTCCCAAAGGAGATCAGTTTCCTGCATAAAACAAATGTAGGTATCTTTCTACTGAAGTTAATATAATTTTTCCATTTAGTTTCTGTTCAGGTTCATGTTACCTGAGTTTCCTAGTTCAGTTCTGGTTCAGGCTCAGCAAAACTCAAAACCAACTGAAGTTCAAAGTCAAGTTTGGGTTTGGTTAACTTCTCCAGCAGTATTACATCCAAGATGAATTCAAGCAAAGTATGTAGTCCAGTTCTTTGTGAAAAATTCAGGAAAAAACAGAATACATTTATTTAATCTTATTCTCACAGCTTAATACAGCACTGCATGAATTAACAACAGCAATTACAGAAATGAAGTAATAAAGGGCTGTCATATCAAAGTAGCTAGTGCATTTCTAAATTAATTCAGACCTCCCAAGTAAAACTATGTTAAAGAAAACCAATACCCCCCAAATACTGAAAAAATAAAAATAAAAAAAAATTAAAAAAAGAAAAAAGGGGGAAATAAAAGAACTACTTAAAGGGAGGGAAATATTCAGTATGATCTTGTCATTAAAAATGCATACACAGTGAGAACACCTGAGGACTGCAGAATAACCCTACTGTAATTACCTAACCTGTGATTCCTCAACTCGGGAATCTAACTAGCACCTCCAAATTCCTAAAAGCTGAAGAAACAAAAAAAAAATACCTTCAAAATTCTGCTACATGTCACAGCAGTGATGCACATGCACATAATCTGTTGGGAATATCTTATTCTTCATCACAGACCACTGCTGCTTGAATTGCCCTGTAGAGATCCAAGCTGTCTCCATGCGTCTGGGCCTGCACCCAGAGGCAGTAAGCCCTGTTCTTTGCCCCTGGTGCCACAGGTAGTGGCTGCCAATCCAGGCATGGTGACAGATGAGCTGCCTTCCCATCTCCAGTCTGCAGGCACCAATATTCCCCTGAGATGGCCCTTAACCCCTTTTCCCTTCTCATTCCTTCTGCATTTCCAGCCTGGAGCACGGCCGGGGCAAACAAAACACAGTTGCATCTTCCTGAAGGCCCTCCCAAGCACTGGCCAAATGAAGCCTAAAAATTTTCAGTCTCTCCATTTGTCCATATTTGGAGTTGATTTTTCAAGTGGACAGAAGCAGCACGCTCATGACAATGAGAGAACTCAGTGCCAAAATTGAAGACTTTGCTCTGAAGCTTGAACTGTTTAACTTATTTTGCTGAAATCTTTCAAAATAATTCAGCATGAGGTGGATACTCAGTAAAGAAGATTTGTAACTTGGATCAATCGAAATAAATCAGTTCCTCCTAAAGAAATCAGTTCTAGTTAGGCCTGAAACTAGTAATAGGACAGAAACAAATAACAGAAGATATGGTCACTAGATGACTCACGATCTTCCCCTCAAAGAGTTAGATTTTACTCTAGTAAGCTTTTTATCTTGTGATAAAAGCGGTCAAAAGGGGAAGGGATGATGACAATAAAGGAACAATAAAAATCGGTGTCAGATTCTGTCAAGCTGAATTGATGAGGTTGGTATTTGGCTTGGGCATCTCTTAGTCACTGTAACCAGTATCAGCTTGGCCCAGGCATTTAGAAACATTGCTGGCCACATCTGCAAATCTCATTGTTTTGGACAACAGCCTTAATAGTCCACCAGAACATACCTTGCATTGGCAGTCATGGTCATGAAGGAAATAACCAACACTGGCAAAGAAATGCACTATGAGTATTTAACTGTCAATAGAGAGACTGTATTTGGATGCCGCAGTCCTTGGGAGCCAGGGAGCTCCAGAGTAGTTTGTTTGTGATGATCTGTGTTGCTAGGCAGATGGGCAGCTACAGCTTGTACCAATAGGAGCTTTTTCTGGACATGAGACTTCAGTTCCTAGAAATGAGTAACTGAAGTACCTTTAAAAAGAATGATAAACACTTGATTGTGAAAAATACAGTTTTCTGAAGGCAACTATACTGCTTAGGCTCATATTTCTCTATTTCTAGTTCTCCTTTGTGAGGGTAAAAAATAAAAATGAAAAGAAAATAATCCCTCTTTACCTGCCTCACAGTAACTAGTACTTAGCTATATGAGGCATGCTTTGATTAGTGACATTCAGTAAGCAAAGTTAAGTGCTCCTTTACACTGACCACTTTCATTCTCTCTTCTCTGAAACTAACACTCAGGAATGACTCACATCTCTCACTTCTTCCCCCAAAACGAAAGATGCTCCTCATTATGAGAGTACACACTTTTTTGCCAAGCTTTCCATAAGCACTCAAAACAGGAAGAAGGCACAGTGATGAGGTGGTCTTCAGTACTGAAGTGTGCATAGGAGTGAAGAGGAATAGGACAGAACCATCTTCTTGGCCTCACGTAGCTGAGAGGACGGAATGCAGACACCAGACTGCTTCATGTAAGCTGTGAGCTCTTCCCTCCTCTCGCTTCAGGAGCCCCTCCATGCTCAGGAATGGTCTCTGCACGCTGTTGTTTGTGTGGAACTCCCACAACTGACAGGGGCTGAGGGTTGTTTTTTTTTAACTATATGAAGCTTAAGAAAATGTATCTTTAGATTGATACTTTTAAATACCAATCTTGAAAAAGCACAGTTATTTCTAAAGAACAGAGAACAGCTTCTTCATTATCTAGTTTCTTCTGGGTACATTTGCATTACCTGCTTTCATGGAGAACGTGCCAGGAGACATCCTCAAACTCCAGTCAAGAGACCCAGCTTCAGCAATCAGGCTTCAAAAATCCCTAATGCCACCAATGAAAAGTTCCATGAGTGCCTCTCTTGGGCCACCTCTTTGGACTTCTTGGAAGACAGCATTCCAGAAATCTGTTTTGACCCTTCAGCTGTACATTTCATACACATTTGAGTACAGCCAGCTTACAGTAACTGCACTGTCCACTTCCACTTTCTCTTTATTCTGGCTTTCAGTGGTTCCAGTATTTTGATTGCTAGTACCAAAACCCCAGAAATGTATCACAATCCTCTGCTCCTCCACCAAGCTATAGTTTAAGAGTGAATTAGCAAACTCCTACCTTTTAAAATTAGGCAAGGATGGTGCTGTAGGCTGAAATTTACTTGTGCTTCTAATATCTCAGTTAAATGGCTGCACTCACTTTTCAACACAGTAAGAAGAATGACTTTAGAAAAGCATTAAAAATCATAGCTAGGTTCATGATTTATAGATTTCCTTTGGGACTTGAGATACCGTTGATGTATAATTTCTGGTCCCACTGAAATCACAGGAACTGCATATCCATGGTTAACACCTGTAAGACTGAAGCATTTCTCTCAGTACTAAAACTTGACCACACACATCAACTGTTCACCTGCAACATTTTCCAGACCACCTGTTTCTTTGCTTCCGGCTTTTAGGAGAAATTTTCACACCGTTCATTTTATTACATGGCATTGCCTTCTGAAATGTATCCAACAACTTGCCAACAACTTTGGGGAGAGAGGCTGAGATGTATTTTGAAACTCAATATACTGAATGTGTAACTATAACAGCGACAAATTCAGTCCTCGTATGCACAGGCTCGTGTGACTGTAAGGCATGCATAAGACTGACCCCTTCAGTGTAGGCAAAAGTATAGACGACGGACTCTTCCCTTATCTCCCATTGTTACTGCGCTGGTTAGAGTACAGCCCCCACGCGCTACCACAGCTCGGCAGCGGAGAGGCAGAGGGAGCCCTACGCGAACACCAGCAGCGGTACAGGGGCGCCTGACCAGGCAACATCGCCAAATGCCCGCTCGCTTGTTCCCGACCACGGCCCAGGGAC